AGGTTCTCTAAATATTCTTTCCACCTATCTGCCTCTTCCTCCTTTTCTATGAAGATGACCCCTGCCTCGTTTCTTATATTATTACAACTGTATCCTACATCTCTAAAATTGCCTCATCGGTTTTACCTACTTCAAACTTTTCTTCTACTTCTTTACACATCCTGTCAATCCACTGTTCCTTAGCTGCCCTACACTTCCTAATTATTTCCCACTGTGAACTGTGTATGAGTGTAGGTGTGTATATGTGTGAATATGTAGTTTAGGATGCGAGGAGTGTATGTGTGTGCAACGTGTGTTTGTGTTTGTTAGTTTATTAGTTTCCTAACAGGGTGAGTATTAGATTCAAAGGGACGTTGCGTACTCGGTCCCAGTGAACGTTGGTTAGTTGGAAAATATTTAATAGCTTACCGTTTAATCGGCTGGGCAGTGATGGTCTATAGTTTGATAGCTTTAAACGTTAAGCGTTGGCTATCGAATATTGACGGTCGGCGTTGTCGGCTAATCCGTCTGTTGAAGGCTGCTATTGGTCTGCTCTGCTCAAAGATCAGCTGGAGAATAGTCGAGGGTAGAAGACTGGTAGGCTGCTGCTGTATGCTGAGAAGATTCGCTCGCTGTGAATGTCGATCGAAGGATGGGTGGAGAGCTGGCTGATCACTGATATTTATACTGTGGCGCAGGGGGAGGGGCAGGGGCGTGGCTCGTCGGCGTCAGCATCGGCTTGACTCATCCAATGAACGGTCGGTGTACTCGAATGGCTTGTTAGTGTATTCGGCGCTTTCTGCGTAGTTTTCTTTAGGACTGGGTACCATACTTTATTCAAACGAAGCCCTTCATCTTTTCTGTTGAAATTAATCGGATGTTTATGAATTTCAATAGCTTCTCTATGCAAGCGAACTTCCGATATTATCAGATTACGCTTATCTTCTGCTGACAGTGACGCATCTTTAATGAGGCTCCTGGTTTTTGCGAGGATTTTGGCAGTAGGATCGTTTTTGAGTATCTTATACGTTGATGGGCCTAATAGATCTAAAACTTTCTGTTGGTAGTCCTTGCTGTTCAGTACTACGGTGGCGTTACCTTTATCTGCAGATAGAATAATAATATCTTTATTATTGTTAAGCGTTTTCAGCGAAGTACGTTCTCGATTGGAGATGTTCGATTTTGGTGGTTTTGCGTATTGGAGAATTCTAGCAGACTCACGGCGTATTTCTTCAGCTTCGGCTGGTTGTAGTTGCCTAATGGATGACTCAACGTTGGCTATAATGTCCTCCAAGGGTAGCTTGACTGGTACTACTGCAAAATTGCCTCCCTTTTCGAGTACGGAGCGTTGATCATCGGTTAGTGGATAGTCGGAATAATTGACCACAATGCGATTTTTGTTCGAAGTCGGTGGAGTATTTTTCGGAAGTAACCGTTCGAATTTACTTTTCTGGCGCTCGGAGGTGGTGGTCATCTTAAGGGCCATAGAACTGAAAGTAAATCTATCAATTTTATCCCAATCATCCTGATTAAGTTTCCTCGTGCGAAGTAAGTGAAGCGACAATAATTCACCATCGAACTGAGCGAGCTCCTTGCGAGTGAAATGTATCCGTTCTCGTAGAAGAGCGCGTTCGGTTCGTTGATAGATACGGTTGGACGCTGCGGAGTGAAAATGCCGTTTATGGTGGAGAAAATTTGGGATAACTTTAGAATCTCTGCAACGTAATAGAAATATCAGTGAACAGAGTAGCTGTGCTTACTTTTTCCGGAAAGATTCCCCGTAGAGGCGAACAATATAAGAACAAAGGCTTTCACGGCCGGAATCCATAGTAGAATGCAGATTCGGGCTATAGGGCCGTGGCCTCCCGGGGAGGAAGTTCATCGTTTAACTAGACGACTGGAATTAATTATCGACTGTGATATCAGAAATCAAAAACATTCAGATTAGAGGGATATTCAGATGCTGATTATGCTGGATGTACTGAAACACGAAAGTCGACGGTGGGTACAATTTATAATGTTTGGTTCTCCCGTTACATGGTTTAGCCAAAAACAATCCATTGTCGCCCAATCAACAACAGAGGCTGAATATGTAGCTTTAGCCTTGGCCGTGAAAGAAGCATTATGGCTAAAACATCTACTATGCGAATTGGATCAAGACCGCGGATCAGTTCGAATCTTCGTGTACAATCAATCTGCAATAAAACTGACAAAAAAAACTCAGAATTTCATAGAAGAACGAAACACGTGTATGTGAAGTATCATTTCGTTTGTGAAATGTGCAAACGGTAGTATTACGCTAGAATTCATAGAATCTAAAAATCAATTAGCCGATTTTCTAACGAAACCATTTCCTTTGCACACGTTTCAGAATAATGTTAATAAATTGCAAATTGTAACAAATTACGAATAAGTGGGAGTGTTGACTTTGTATTCGTAATATTAGTTTTGTTTTATTCTTTTATATGCATGTAACTGTAACAATATTCGTTGTGTTGTATGTTTATGATTATTATGATATTAATTCGAAGATTTATAAAGCAGCATTTGTTCGTTTCTTTAGTCTTTTGCACATACATGTAACTCTTGTATACCTTTGTTACAGTTACGTTTAGCAGCTACAGTTAGTCATCATCTTAGTCTTTTAATGTTCACACGTTCATGTTCTTGTTAACTATTATCAACAATTAAATATACTTTTACAAAACCGCTGCGTTCTGCATTTTATTCGAACAATAACAACAAAAAAAAATTGTCAAAATAGGTTACAAGTACAGCAAAATAAAATTATGCGTATTAGGGAAGAAGGAGGTAAGACGGGGAAGCGGGTAAGACGGGGTACCAAGCAAAATTCCCAGTTCAAATTGACCAATCACGCTCGTTCATTTATCGTTCGAAGCGCCGCCATGATACTTGTCAGGTGGTTAGTGGTTTCCAAATGCACAGTGTCGAAAAAAATTCGAAAAAAGTGTTTTACTGCAAATTGTTTATTAAATTGTTACGCAGTGAAGTTTTAAGGAAACTCAAAAAAACATTTTAGACCTTAAAGCATATTTCAAAATTAATTAAATATTTCATAATTATAACGTTACTATTCTTTTTAAATTCATAAAACGGATATCGAGTTCATTCACTTGCAAAATAAGCATATTTGGCATTACACAGCAACGAGGCAGCAAGTGAAAACAATTATCTATTTTACAAGCGGAATTTGACGCTAGTTCGATAGCTCTGGTCATTAGGAAAATTATTGAACTTCGCGAAGTCATCAATAGGGACTTCGTCGTTTTTTTGTCATTAGATCAGCAAGACTAGAGAA